GTATATACATCAAGCTTTCGGTAAATAGATAGACTATATACTAGATCCATGAGTTTTTCGATAAATAGATGGAATATATACATCCATTTTTCCCACATTTTTTAAAGCTGGCTATTATCGTTCATGCTAGAGCAAGCAGCATCATAAGGAGAATTTATATTGTTTCCGAAAGAATAAAAGCGGATTGAATGTGATATTTAGCTGCCTCATTCTATATATCCGTATCCTATATATCTATATATCCGTATCTTCTTTCCCATAAGCACCTCCTAAGTTTTAATGAACATTTTTCCAGCTGGTACATTTGTTTCTTATTCAGTTCGTCAATGGAGATGCGAATTAGGATACAGAAACGGACACTTCCTCGTAAAGCTAAATGTCATCCGAATCAATTCGGCGAAATGAATGAAGAGGACATCCGCCGAGTCAGGGGGAAGGGAAAGTAGGGAGAAGTATCCCTTCAATGAAGACTTACTGCGTTTCCTTTTAATGCGGCTGATAAGATTTCGTTGCGCTGATAAGTTCAGTTAGCGCTCGGAGGATGTAAATCGTGAGAGGCATTTCCACTACTGCGGTGATGACAGATGTAGTGATTCTTATGAATTGATGGAGGATGTTTAAAATATATTTTTATTTTCTTTTTGTATTTGTGGTTAAAAACAGAGTAAGATGAATGGAAAAAGATTGCTCAATTTCTTTTTTTTTTTTTTTTTTTTGATGTGTGATTAACATGCAGAGTTGGAAAATTTTTAGTCTCGTTTTGGGCAATGTTTTCAATGTTCAATAGATATGAAACACTATGCTTGATTTAGCTGTTAGTTAAACAGCTTGATTTAGCTATTAGTTAAACAGCTTGATTTATTGTTATTAGTTAAACGTTTGTTTTTTTATTAGTTAAACGTTTGTTAAACAGATTTCCAAACATTTTTGAAATTAAAACATTAATTAATGATTAAATTATTTTCTAACAGTTTAAGTATAGGTATTAAATTATATTTATGTTACACGATCTACAAGGTAATAAAAATAATGAATAATTTTCCATTTACTTGAATTCGAAAAAAAGAGTAATAAAGGGCAGGATCGAAAAACAATCGTTAACTCTGAAAAATGTGTACGATGTAGCAAATTGTTTTCTATATCTGTGATTTCTTATCCTGCTTGGTTGACAGTAACCTCTAGACCAAATCCATGAACCCGTGTGTTTAAACCGACGAGTCGTGATAGAAAGTAAAAAAGCGGCTAGCGTCCTGGCCTTTGGTACCACAATCTTCAGGAGCGAATCCTGGCTGTGATATTTTTGTTTGTTAGTGGCTCAGAATCCATGTTAAACTGTAGATTCCGGTCTAATTAGCGCAAAGTGTTCGCAATATAACCGTACAAACCAATTCTTCTTGTAAAGGGTAAGAAAATGCAGCTTCTTTTCTGCTTAACCTGGGACACACAAAGGGAGAAGTCTGACTCTACCCCACTCGGTTACACCCCTCCCCCGGCGCTGGGTACTCATTTTAATCTCTTTTTACGATTTGCACGGGCTACAGTGGGGTTATTCGAACCCGGACTCACATGGGAATTTTCTATATCTACAAACATTTACTGATGTTAGTCATTAATTGCAAGAGATATGATTAATTGTATATAAATCTACGGAATTATACGTTATTTAAATCTAAAATTAATTGTTCTATAACTCTACTATTAATTGTTCTATAATTCTATTTGATTAACAGTAAATTTTTAATCAACCAAATAATTATCGAAAGAAAAGGTTTTGCTATAAAAAGCATTGCAGTATTTTCGTTCAAATTGTTAATTTGTTTCAGTAATTAACATTTGCAGATGCTTATCGATTTTTAAATCATAACGAACAATAAATGGAGTGTACATTGTTCATCTGTTCTTGAATTTTGTTTATTCTTTTATATTTGTCAAGCGTGACATACAGTGATTGTGAGGAAGATATCAGAAACGAGGAGGAAGCAATTACAACAAAAGATTATCTGAAATATTACTGAATTGAATTAAGCAAAGCTGTAGATTCACCTGTCAAACCATCACCTCTGGCTATTCCCAAAGGCACCAGCCTTTGAATGTCAATAATAAAACTCAATTCAAAAACTTTTAAGGAAATGCGAGATTTGATTAATGTTGAAAAAGCTTTTCCATGTATCTTTCATGATGAACTGTTGAGAATTGTAGATTGATAATAGGGCTTGCATAATCTAAAATTTTATACGTAAATTTTTTTTAATCAAATTATTAAAAAATACATAAATATAGGTTCATAATAAAATAATATTTTTCCATGAAATTTTTAAAAATTGTATTTGACATCTTTAATAAGTTTTTAAACTAGAATTATTTCATTTTAGAACGCAGGATTTAATTTTAAATTTCTTTTAGGGTCAACTTTTCATACATGAAAATAAATTAAATCATGAACGTGAATTTAAATTAAGAACACTTAAAATTTATGAATTGACTGATATCTATCAAAATTATGTTAATATAGGTTAAACATTTTTACTATGTAATTAAAATTTGCATATGAGTGTGTAACAAAAAATTTTAAGAAAGAATACAAAAATTTTAATTTGCTTATTGCTTGATGATCATGAAAGCAACAATTTCTATCGAATAAAATGCAATTATCGGTGTTTTATTCCAGTCAAATGCAATGAGGGATTTACTTAATTACATTTTCTCCAAACTGCCGTATGGAAAACTTCATTTTTATGTTGTATACAATCGAGGATTTAAAAAATAAATTTGCATCCAATCTTTTTTATTAATCTTCGTAAATATTCTTAAAACAAGAAACGGAAGAAGTAATGACGTACCAAGAAACAATTATTTGTTTGAAATACTTTTCAATTACAGGTGCAAATTAAATTTAGGCAGCCAATGATTGAAGTACCGCTTCAGATGGTAACTAAAAGAAGTTATGTTTTCAATTCTAAAGTGTAATTTTTATTCGAGTTTTATTCCGTCTATTCTCTTTAATTGTACCAATATTTTTTTATAAAGCAGCTGGCAAACACTTAAGACACTTGCCTTTGATGCTTTCAGGCAAGCTCTGCACCGACGTTACTCACTTAGTACTACCCAGGAGGTGCGTGTAGCTTGAAGACAAGTTACAGACGCGGAGTAGCAATACCCCCGCGAAGCTCTCATGTTAGACCGGGACCTACGGTTTAAATGGATTCCGAACCACTACAAACATCCATGGTACCGCGGCGACTCGAATCCGAAACCTGTGGTACTGAGCGCAGAGCGTAAGCCACTGGGCCATTTGGCTCGATACGATCGGCGCCCATACGATTCGACATGTGATCTGGACATCTGAGGCTACTAGGATCATTGATAGGCGAAAATAAAACAGAGTTTCATAGCAACAACTGTGGTTCGTCGACAATATTCTACGTTGCGTTGTGTTGCTCTTCCAATCCCAACTAATCGGATGCGGCCTGAAGGTCAATTGGCTAGCGCTCTGGCCTCTAGTACCACAAGATTCAGGTTTGAATCCTGGCGGAAGCATGGATATTTGTTAGTGGTTCGGAATCCATGTTAAATTATAGGTCCCGGTCTAATTAGCCAAAATGTGCGCAAAATGATAGTATAGCGACAAACTTGCCCATCGGATTTACATTTAAATAGGATAATGCTCAACCACACAGGGCAATCATTTGCAATGATTGTCTAGCACTTTCCCTGACAATTTACATAGTTAGATTATTCCCAAATAAAGAACATTTCTAGTACGATGAGCTCATGTCTCCTGCGTTTCAGGATCTCGACAATTCAGGAGAGATTTTGCGAAGTAATTCTATAAGAGGATAGCCATCAAATCTACTAATCGATGCTGAACCTAGTAATAACTTGTATAAGGACCAGAAAAAGATCAATGTCTTATTAGTGAGTTTGTTAAATGTAGCTGTACCTCATTACTAAAATATTTAATTACCTTGAAATTTTAATTATTTCTTTTCTATATCTATGAGTCATATTCACCTATTTTTGTCAAATTCAGTTAACTCCTTCTTATTGAAGTGTTTTTTTTTTTTTTATGCACAGTAATTTGACTTATAATTTACATTATATTCGACAAAAAATCCCCGAATAAATAATTGAATTGAAATGCATATCTCATTTAATTAAGAAAGTTCATGAAAATTTTAATCATAACCGTATTTCAGTTACTGTGAGTTTGGGATCAGCTAAGATGCTGTTTAAAATGGAGGTCTCGCAAATATTTAAAAGCATTTGAAAATTCATTTAGCTTGAGAAATAGAGAAATAAAAATAATTCTGATACAATCTGTTCTTGTTTCTCTAACTGTAAATGTACAAGGTGATTATAAGATAAATATTAGGAATAAAAACTAACAAGCAGTTATATGCTGCTGGAATAAATAATAATATGCTGTTATAAGTAGAAGAATAAGCACTAATATTTTAATAACAATTACAACTTCTTATGACTGATCAAAATTTTGTAGCAGCAGAAACGGTAGAAGATGCTAAAAGTCTTCTAAAATATATCAGAAAATAGAGCTATTTTTCCTTTTTCCTAGTCCAAATGTTTTCCCAGCTTTTACTTTTTGTGCAAATAGTTTGTGCACAGTTCATGAAATATTAAAAATTATTTCTTTAATAATAAAATTTTTATAATAAACTAAAAAAATAAAAAGTGAATATGTTGTTGTTGTTTCTTATCCCACTTGGCTGGCCAAGCCCACGAGCCCATACGTACTCATGATTGAAGGGGAAGGAAGCAGCTTCTGTTGTGATGGAGCACCCGAAGGTAGAAGTCTGACTTTGGCTCCGTGACGCTCTTGCAGTCATAGGAGACCGGGACCTACGGCTTAAAGTAGATTCCGAACCACTACAAACATCCATGGTACCGCCGGGATTTGAACCCGAAACCTGTGGCACCGAGCGCCAGAGCGCTAGACACTCGGCCATTCAGGTCCCAAATTTGTGAATGCCAACGGCCCACCTTGGTCACCCACCCAAGTACAGACCGCGCCCAATGATGCTTGACTTCGGTGATCTAACGAGAACCGGTATATTCAGCATGGTATGGCAGTTGGCATTGGATATCGGATAAAGTGGATATTGTTACTATAATAAAGTACTCTGAATTTGAATATTCTTTTTTTTTTTTCACAAAAAAAAAAAAAACTTTTAAAGCATTATGAAAAATATATATCCATGACTTTTTTTTCCCCAAAATGTATTTATTTTGAATTAATGCAATATTAATAAAAGTTAAGCTTTTTTATAAGAAACACACTCTTTTCCATAATTGTCTGTCTAGTACACAAATCCAATTAACAACGATAAAAAGAGGAATTAAAAAAAATCACAATTAGTACAAATTCTGAGAATGTGTACCTAAAATATAACGGCAATTTAATAATCAATTAATTTAAAATTTTTAGTTATTTTAAATAAATAAATTATTTTGAATTGTTAATTGTGATTAATTTATTATTTAGAAAAATTAATTACATTGGATTACCATTTTCTTTAATTATTTTGTCTGTATCACAATCATCTTTAGAGGTTATAAATAAACATACTACTGTGTCCAAAAAGTAAGACCAGTTTTCAATTTCAATTTCCCGGGCATATGGTATTTCAATTTTTTTTTTCTTTTTAGGTTGTTGGCACTGTCCTTGACATCTGAGTGAAATTTGACGTCAAAATATTCATTAGTGTTTGAGTTACGCTTGGTTTTGTGAGATGCTAAAACTGATTCCGGCGACTTTCGAAATATCTGAATTAATTGAGCAAGAACTTGAGCTAAAGTTTGTTTGCAGAAATGTATAGAATGTTGCAGAAAGCATTCCGTGAGCATTCTATATCGGAAAGAAATATTTAGAAGTGGTAAAAACAGTTCAAAGAAGGCAGAGAACGCGTTGAAGACGAAGAGACCTCTGGTCGACCACCAACCTCAACCGACGAAAATCACGTGCAAAAAATTAAACATTTGGTTCTTGAAACCGTCAGTTTACAATTAGAGACCTTACTGATGATGTTAGAATTTCAAAATTCCGTTTTAAAAGCTGTTTTGGGCCTCAAATGCGTCAAATCCCTGATTGGTACCGAAAACACTGAATTCGCCAGCTCACACTGCATTGATTCTTCGTAAATCCATATCGTTCCACAACCACCGTATTCACCTGATTTATCATCGTGCTACTTCTGGCTATTCCCTAAACTCAACAATCCGGGACATCGAACTCCCTCAATCCGAGGACACCATTTTAAGTCGATTGAAGAGACATTTCAAAAATCGCCGGAATCAGTTTTAGCTTCTCACAAAACCAAGCGTAACTCAAACACTAATGAATATTTTGACGTCAAATTTCACACAGATGTCAAGGACAGTACCAACAACCTAAAAAAGAAAAAAAAAAATTGAAATACCATATGTCCGGGAAATATAAATTTAAAACTGGTCTTACTTTTTTGAACACCGTAGTACTGTAATATTTTCTCCTAATTTACGCATGATGTAATGAAACGTAATGAATAAATGTCTTCTGTGTTGTCTTATGATACTTATATTCAAAGTTAATGGACAAATAAACTAATGGGACAATGACATTTTTTTTTATTTTCTATAAATACACAAATTTTGGAATCTCTAAAGTAAATCAGAGTTTTGTAATAATAAAAGTGTGATTTTAGTGGCGTCATTTGCCTCTACAATCTCAGATATGTATCAAATTCAACTTAAACCAGGATTCACCACAGTGGTGTTTGTTATACTGCGTCCACATTTTGATATCACTATTCAGAACAGACATCCTCATAAATGTTATCTGAGAGTTCTCTCTTCAAGTCCTCAGTTCTCTCATCATGTCCTTGTAAAAGATATGGCACTAAAGGATATAGGATAACATAAGGATTTGCTGGCCTATGCAATTATGATGCTGATTCCCCCCATTATACACTTAACTTTCGGCTATGTATCGCTAGTCGGATTTCAATCCAATTTCCTCTAGCGCAACGCTACCCACCAGATCTATACCGATTCTTTTTTGTGTAGAATGGAAATTCATAAGTATCAGACAGCTTACGTGTTAATGTGAAACGGCTAATCACCCTGTTAAAATCGCTATTGGTTCTCATCGTTTCTCGAAGCAGTTACTTCCTGTATGATTCAGAGCACCATCCTGCTCTCAAAGAAATAACTATCATTTGCCATAACTTTATGCATCAAAGAACCATTCTGTTCTCAAAGAAATAACCATCATTTGCCATAGTTTTATGCATCAAAGAACCATTCTGTTCTCAAAGAAATAACCATCATTTGCCATAGTTTTAAGCATCAAAGAACCATGCTGTTCTCAAAGAAATAACTATCATTTACCATAACTTTATGTATCAAAGAACATCCTGATCTCAAAGAAATAATCATCATTTACCATAGCTTTATGCATCAAAGAACCATTCTGTTCTCAAAGAAATAACCATCATTTACTATAGCTGTATGTATCAAAGAACTATTCTGTTCTCAAAGAAATAACTATCATTTACCACAGCTGTATGCATCAATCTGTCCTCAAAAAAATAACCATCCTTTACCATGGCTGTATGCATCAGGGAACCATTCTGTCCTCAAAGAAATAGCCATCATTTACCATAGCTGTATGCATCAAAGAACCATTCTGTTCTCAAAGAAATAACCATGCTTTACCATAGCTGTATGCATAAAAACCGTTCTGTTCTCAAAGAAATAACCATCATTTACCACAGCTGTATGCGTCAAAGAACCATTCTGTCCTCAGAGAAATAACCACCATTTACCATAACTGTATGCATCAAAGAACCATTTTGTTCTCAAAGAAATAACCATCATTTACTATAGCTGTATGTATCAAAGAACTATTCTTTTCTCAAAGAAATAACTATCATTTACCACAGCTGTATGCATCAATCTGTCCTCAAAAAATAACCATCCTTTAACATGGCTGTATGCATCAGGGAACCATTCTGTCCTCAAAGAAATAGCCATCATTTACCATAGCTGTATGAATCAAAGAACCATTCTGTTCTCAAAGAAATAACCATGCTTTACCATAGCTGTATGCATAAAAACCGTTCTGTTCTCAAAGAAATAACCATCATTTGCCATAGTTTTAAGCATCAAAGAACCATTCTGTTCTTAAAGAAATAACCATCATTTACTATAGCTGTTTGTATCAAAGAACTATTCTGTTCTCAAAGAAATAACTATCATTTACCACAGCTGTATGCATCAATCTGTCCTCAAAGAAATAACCATCCTTTACCATGGCTGTATGCATCAGGGAACCATTCTGTCCCCAAAGAAATAGCCATCATTTATCATAGCTGTATGCATCAAAGAACCGTTCTGCTCTCAAAGAAATAACCATCATTTACCATAGCTGTATGCGTCAAAGAACCATTCTGTCCTCAGAGAAATAACCATCATTTACCATAACTGTATGCATCAAAGAACCATTTTTGTTCTCAAAGAAGTAACCATCATGTAAGATAGCTGTATGTAAAGTAGACTTGTAATTTAAACCAAATGCTGTTAGTATAAAAAATAATGTTTGATAATAAATTTAAATGTCCTTTTCCATAATTTTTAATCATGATTATTTTATTTTTTAGGAGTTTCAAGAAAGAGCAAGACAATGTCTCCTTCAAAATTATCATTATTGTTACTGGGCCTATTGGCTTTGGGGATTAATTTGAATTTCGTGCAAGCAATGCCCACGGACCTATTGGATGATTTGGATAATTTTGATGATGAAGAAGATTGAATATGAAGAAGCCGTAATGGTTGATGAAAGCAATGGAATTGTTGATGGTAAAATTTTATAGAAATTATTTTTATGATTATTTTTTAATTTGTAGTTAAGGAAAACTAATTTATAGTAGTTGTTTTGTATTTATACAAATTTATTTATTTATATTATTTATTTATTTTATATTTTTTTAAAATTTATTGATTTTGATTTTAAAAGAAAATGGTCTTAACCAAAAATAAATTGGATATCATAACAACGTTATAAAAATATAGTACTATGAACAATAACGCAATATACGGCTCCTTAATTTTTTTTAGAAGATCAAATAAAAAATATTTAAAGTAAAACTTTTTTGTTTTGAAATTAAAATTAATTTTTATTTAGAATTGTGTTTTTATATGTGAATTCTCTTTCTTTTACTTAACATTTCTTATGCAATTATTTAAAATGTATGAAAAAATAGCAAACCATATGTATTCATTCATTCTGCATTTTTTCCCTTCTAATATCATTGCAAAGAAAAAAATAGCTTAATTTTGCAATTTCACAAAAACATACACTCAAGAGCCAAAACATTATGACCACCTGCCAATAACGAGTTGGCCCGCAGCCTTTCCCATCACACACAGAAGTAAGTGAAAGAATGATTCTTCAGACTCCCAGCAGCAGTTAAATACCACTTCCACCTGATCACGTGCCTTCCACGTCATCCAGGCGAGTTCATTGCAAAATGTAGGGGTGGTCATAATGTTTTGGTTCTTGAGTGTGTTTGAATGGATAGCAACGGGTAGCAGTACACGTAATTTTATTTCATTTTAAATTATGATTTTTAGAAAATATCAATATATTTGATAATGAAACATGATTTTTATGGCAAATAAGCAATTAGAAAATTTAATTAAAATTAATTAAAATCTTTAAAATATTTTCTCAATAATTTCATTAAATATTTGAAACTAATTTTTGGTTTTTTTTAAATTGACTGAATATAAGTTCATATAATCTGATCTTCAAGGATGAAATATGGAAGAAAAAAAAAGTCAAAGTTGACTGATAACTTACAATTAGGCGGAATTATTTTATTCATCAAAGTATGCACATTTTCTATACACTTTATCCATTTTAGCTGTTGGCACTTTAGACATTGTTCAGGCCTGTGGTATAAAACCCTGGCAGATTATGACTATTGTTATTGACAGATTATGTCAATCAATTCCTGGAAGGCCAGTTTTACACCAATGTCGGAATTAAACTGTTTTCATATTAAAAATTATTGTTGTCCAAAGTGCAGAAG